AGGACTCCCGCAACCCGCCCGCGTCCTTCTGGATGCACCTGATGTGTATGCAGCACCTCGCCTCCCAGCCAGGACTCAGCTCCAGTTAAGTGGCGCTCTATGTATTTTATAGCGAATATTCTCGAGTAGCTGCACTGCAATGAAGGAGATATCAAGGAGGCCTGTCAGTTCAAAGCTTTTGGGGTTGTTTGAAAATCTTCTTCACGTCAAAGTAAGCAGCCCTAGTATTTGAACAGCTGCTTTGAACAGTGAAAAGGGCTGAGCTGAATCAAAACACTGCAGTGTCTGCCCAAGACACCGCATCACCTTCAACCTGCTTTTATGCGAGCAGAGAAAAGGAAAGAAAGGCTGGTGAGACCTCTAATCCCGCGGGGTCAGCTCCGCCAGAAAGGGGCCACATGACTGTCTCTTTTACATCCCGAGCGGCCCGGACCCGAGCAGCGACCGGAGCCGGAGCCCGTGGCTGGCAGCGGCGAGGCGACAAGACCGGCGGTCGGGCGCTCGCTCCCCGCTCCCCGGCACTCCTCTCCACAGGGGGAGATGGGAGCGGAGGATGCTTAAGGAGCGGTATTAATGACAGGGCTAACAATGATGGGGAGGACGAGGAGGTGGAGTCTGCGGCGGCTCTGAATGCACCGGCCGCGCTCCTCGCTGCTCCCAGCTGCGCCTCCATAGGCGTGCGCTCTGCCGGGGAGGGGGCAGGAGGGACGGCGGGGGGCTCTGCTGGGGAGACGGGGTTTTGTCCGCCTCCTAAGGCCGCGATGCTACTTCGGTAACTGTGATTCCCGTTAGGCCGTGAGATCTGCCGCTGGGCCGGCGGGGGTGAGCGGCACGCAGGACGGTCACCGTAGTAGGCAGCACCTGCCAGGGCCGGGCGGGACAGAGAGGGCCGGGAAGGGGGGGAACAGGAAATGCACGGTTGGGGCAGGCCCGGAGGGGTTTTTCCCCCACAGAAAAGTGTTGGTCGAATCTCGCCGGCCCCGTGTCCCGTCTCCTGGTGGAGGCGAGCCGCGGAGAGCGCGGTGCCGTCGGCACTCCACGGGGACCAGCTGTCCGTGGGGCGTGCACACGCCGTGGGGCCGGGGCACAAGGGAGGTCCCTCGGACGACCACCGGGGTAGCTCCGTGCTCGGCGAGCACCGCACGCTGGAGGCGCCCGCGTGAAAACCTCGCTCTGAAAACGACGCGCGGCGTGGCCCCTCGTGTCTCGTCCACGCACGAACTTTTGGCAGCGGACCTGGAGGAAGGCTGGTGGGAAAGCCGCCCCCGGCAGAGTTTCGGCGGCCCCAGGAGCGGGAGGGCTGGCCCGGGCGCGGAGAACGGGGCTGCTCTCCCAGGACGGTCCCCGCGATGCCTTGGCAGAAGCCTGCTGCGGACTTGCCCTGTTGTTTTGTTTCAACTCACTGGTCTACACCTAATTGGGAGGAGAGAGACGAGAAAATGAGCATCAAATTATAAAATTCCTGGGTGCCCAGTTGTTTACACACGGGAAACAAAAGGCACAGCTTCACTTCAGAGACACTGACTTCCCTCTCCGCAGCCCTCGCAGAACAGGCAGTATTGTTCTTCCCTCCGCCTGCACCTCGAAGAAAGGGGAAAAAACCCCAAACCTTAGGAAGAATCGCCACTCTTTCATGGACAAAGTTTGCGTCCCCCTCCTCCTCTCGTTCTCCTCCTCCTCCTCCCTCCCTCCCTCCCCTCCCCACCCCCCGGCAGAAGGAGCTCATGATACGCCGCTAAACTAACGAAACGAGGTAACTCCTGCTGCGCCCCTTGTCTCAGGGCACTGGATATCCTGTTTATGCTGCTGCTGTGTATATGTTTATGTGCAGGAGCCCATCCCCCCTCTCCTCCACACCCCCACGCAGAGGAATATTTCCAGGCAAGGAGCCTTTCCAGCGCTCACGTTAAATACGATGATTTATAAACAACTCGCAGAAGAAAGCTGTTTCTTGTTAGTAGTAATAAATTCCCCGGTCCGCCCTATTGTGTTATTTCGATGAAGATAGCGGGAGCCTGCGACGCGCACCTACCCCCGTGAGCGGTTTATTTTCGAGACAAAGCTATGGCTTTCAGCTCAAAAATGGGCAGCGAACTCTTTTCGCGTCGGCCAGCCTGGCGCTGCTTATTCCTAGGAAATACGAATCCAGTTTCAGGGTCTCCTTCCTTCCTGTCCGGCCCGCAACTTCTTTTCTTTTCCCTATCTCCCTCTTTTTTCCCTATTTTTTTTTTTTTTTCCTTTTTCCACCACCCTCTCATGACCATCTTCCGCATCCATGCAGAGTCGCCAGCGCCGCTGAGGCGGTCCCGCAGGCATCCCGTCCCCACGGGACGGAACAAGCGGAACAAAACCACCTCCGCAGTGCCGAGGTGCGAAGCCCCGAGACCCCCGGAGGAGCGGTGCGCTCCGGCGACCACCGGGTGCCGGGAGCAGGGCAGGGCGGGCGGACAGGCAGGGGGGGGGC